AATGTTAGGAACAACTGACAAATGGCAGAGAGCCTTAATAGTATAATGACCCATCAACAAGATTTTTCGAAACAAAGTTACATTTAGGATGCGTTTTACGAGATTTTACAAGAATACATTAATAATAATAATATGTATTTAATCCAAGCGATCTCTGACAGATATAGGATAGGTCAAAAATCATTTAACACAATGAAACAATGAAGCAGCTCAAATTAACCGACACAATCCAAAAAATTAAACGCTAAAAACTCATTTACGGAGTTAATAATACGTTTTTTCTACTCCCACCTTCCTTTATCGTACATGTTTCCATGACACTAAGTGACCTTTTAAATACACATTGACAAGTTGTGGCTTTCTGGCGCTTTAGTCACGGACTGAAGTTAGTTTTAAGTTAGTTGACAGTTGTCAAATGTCCTACAATCTTTAAAATAAAGTTAAGCCTTTCTTTTAAAATAATACTAAATGTAAAAAATTTTTTATTATCTCAATACAAAAATACAAAAGAACGAGTATTAAATAGTTTCTCAACGCCAATATTTGAAAAGTTTATATGAACATTAGGGTGGGTCAAAAAAAACCGACTATTTTTTTTTTACTTTGTATCGGTTACTAGACACCTCTAGAGAATTCTCACCAAACATCTTAAGCTATATAGCTCTTAATTTTGATAACAAGGTCCTCCTCTTTACAATTTTCCATTTTTTCCTCAGTAGAAACAAAAATTTATATCTACTCGACAACTGTTCGTTAAAAAATAACTCTCCTCATATTCTTGCAGGAAATCGAACGCTCAAAAAAGGTCTCTTAAAATTTTTTCGTAAACCTCACCGTTAAAAAGATATCGAAGGTTAAAGTTCAATTATTTTAAGAGAAATTTCTGTTTTGATTATGAATTTTATACCTCGCTTACAAAATGAATCGCGCAACTCATAGTTGTGTAGGAAATTAACTGCTCTACAAAAATGGTCTCTTATGATTTGTCGATTAAATTAAGCAAACTTTAATGCATACTAATTTTAACAGTTTTTGATGAATAATTCGAAAATTTTTAATTTAATTTTTGAGTTTTACGAAAATTTATACAAATTAGTTTCTACCGTAAGTAACTCTTATAGAAGTTTCTCTTTCAAAAATTTACCTTTATAATCTGTGTTTATAAAATTTAACATTTGACGGTGACACACAGATTCCCCTATTGTTTCATAGATGGCGCGATACAAATTTTTAATTTAAATCATTTTAAGCTAATAATAAGTATTTGTCGTAGAAAAAGTATAGTATGCACCTCGTTTATAAACTTTTCTATACACTATTTAAGCACTCGCTCGCAAGCTCGCTCGTGCCTAAATTAAATTCGTGTATAAAATGGCGTTTATCAAACTTGATACATAATATACTATTATGTATGAATTAAGTTTGATAAACGCCATTAGTCATGAATTTTAAGTAGGCACGAGCGAGTTTGAGAGCGAGTGTTTAATAAAATGATTGTCTGGAAAAGTTTATAAACGAGTTGCATTATAATAGTATCCTAATTATACTATACTTTTTATACGACAAAATTATTTAATAATATAACCAAAAAATAATTTAAATTAAATACTTGTATAGAGCGACATCTATACAAAAATAGTGAAACCAAGCTAATGATAACTTGGGAATCTTTTTTATCGGCTATCAAAATGGCCGTGTCAAAATTTTTCTTTAAAAATAGAAATTTAGTTCTTGAAAATGGACTAGAAAACCAATAAAAGCACTTTCTTACACTGAAAGTGAAGAGGATGTTTTATGGGTTACTCCACCCGACATGTTTAATGCTTTATAGGCAAATACAAACATACTGCCAGAGAGATAAAAACACCAGTACAAACGTGCATATAAACTTCTCAAAGATTGTCGTCAAGAAGCTATTTAATTATTTTGTATTTTTGTATTGGGATAATAACATAATTTCTATATTTAGTATTATTTCACAAGGGCACTTTATTTTGAAGATTGCATGACATTTGACAACTGTCAACTAGTTTAAAGCTAACTTTAGCCCGTTAATAACGGGGCGTGACTAAAACGTCATAAAGTCACAGCTTGTCTATGTGTATTTAAAGCACTTAGTGTCATGGAAAAATGTACGATAATGGGCGTTTTAAAGGTTTTCTGCCCATTAATTATTATTTAGAATTGAAAATAATTGGATTACTGATCTGCGCATCAATGGTTACAGTTTAATTTTCTCTGTGTACCTACTGAATCGACGTCCTTGATTTGGTGCTTTAGTGTTTTATTTAAATGAGTAACGACAAGGACAAATTTTTTATGTTATTATGAGATGAGGTTATGTAAGATTTAAATGTATTTTGCTCAAGTAGATTAGAGACTGCTTACCTTTAGATAAATAGATAAGAACTAAGTAAACTGGTTATTTTCTATGAAAACGAGTGAGACCTATGAATAATTAATAATAAAGTTGATTTCCAAATACTAAAATAAACGTTTTATTTGTCAATTTGGAATAATATTCTTTTTACCCACTTTCACTTAACCGATTTAAAAAAAATACATATTGATTAGATGGGCGTATTAACAAAATAACAATCCAGCCGGATTGGCGTTAATCCGGCCGGATTGAAAGTCATCATATTGATTAGGTGGACGTATGAACAAAGTATCAATCTGTGATTAGCAATTGGGCAAGATTTTCAATCCGGCCGGCCGGATTGAAAATCTTGCCCAATTGCTAATCACAGATAATAAAACTTTTACTAAAATTAATATTTGTGGTTAAAATAACACAGCAAACCATTACCTTAAATATGTTTTTGACTTTGTACTTTTTCTGCAAGGAAAAGAGTTGTATACAATGTTGAAAACCATAGTTTACACAAAAATGCCCGATTAACGGACGTTCTAACAATAGTACAACATAATAAGTTTTAAAATAGTCAATAATATTGCGTTTACAACATAAATAAGCAATTTTAAACATAACGTAATACGTTAAATTCCGTTATACATTATAAAAGCGAACTTAATTCATTTAGTACATTTATAACAACACCCTGTACTTATGCATCATTCTTTTTTTATAAAGGCCCGTCCAGACCGCAGTGCAATTCCGCGAAAAACGTTTTGTTGACAGTTATATTGTCAAATTGAAAAAGTGAAAACTCATCTTCTAATTGGTTGGCAAAATAGGACAACAGTAAAACACATTTATGACGGTTACCTTGAGGTACAGCTTGTATAGGACTTCGGCATAACTCAAATAATATTTACTTCACGACTTAAATCCACGAAAATTATCCTACATCACTCACAAATAACATTGTATTTTCGAAAATGTAAACAAAACCAAAGTGCATCAAAAAGAATTTAAAAAATGTATGTAGTAGTTCCATATATTTAAATATGGGAGTAGTGTCAGTTCTATGTTTCACCGTGGTGTCTTGTTTCACAGCGCCACCTGAATTTTGCATTATTAGTGAGGTCACTTTCTTTTGAAATTAGGACCTGTTTATAAGAGTCTTATAATAAGACCGTGGCATAATAAATCATTAGGGGCTAGTAATTAGTAAGTAGAGTCATCAGTGATTGGCCGATTTAATTATGCACCGTGATTTGTACCAATCGTAAAATTCGACATGTCAGACAGTTCTAACGTCGCTTTCTACAAATAAAATTGACATTAAATTCTAAAAATCATTACAACTTGGTAAAAATGTTTTATATTATTCGGCCCAAAAGGTCTTTTTGAGCTTTGCTCAACCAGGAGCAGACCCAAGCAATTCTTGGGGGGGGGGATTAATTTTTACCTAAAATCTAAAGATGTTCTTTGTAATAGTATTCAGTGTACAGCTTCAGTGGTCATGTTTTTTTCGTTAAAAATGAAGAGAGTTACTTTATTTTCTAATATTTAGGGACAAATTTCCCAATTAGATTTTTCTCACTCAACATTTTTTCCCTAGTTCTTGGGGAGATACCGAAAGAACTTCACCAGAAAAAACGTCAGTCAGTTAAATTATTTTGGAACCAATAATAAAAATAAAAAATTAGAACAACCCGAACACCCATTTTCGTGTTAGTGTTTTCAGTCTTATAGAATAAAGTCTACTCACAAAATTTAAATTTAACGATACGGGACACCCCGTATTTTTACAATCTGCGAACTGTGTTTCTTTAATAGTTATAAAGTTATTTATGTCAAAAGGCTGAGAAGTGAGTCTTTTTGTGCTGAGCTTAAAAGATTGCAGCAGAAAACTTTGCGCCGAGGCAAAGCAATTAAGCAAAGCACAAAAATACCTTCGAAGATAAAATAAATGAAAAAGGGTTAAAAAAATGAATTAGGAAAATAAAGTTATTATTGTACTAATAAAATAATAAATATCTTTTAAGGACTGCGTAAAGGCTAATAATATTGATATTATATTATGTTAGAAGATAAAATAATAATATTATTTTATTACTTTAATAATTAGTTTAATAATATAATTTAATTAATTAATTAAATTAAAATGATTGATTGGGACCATGAGAAAAGTATTGGTTTCAATTAATATTTAATAAGCCAGAATTATTGTATATTGGAATATTCGTGTTACATTACGTAAATATACGTTCGTGTAACGTTACGTTTACTGAGAATTGCGATCATAGAACACGATTATCCAGTATCATCCTTTAACTCTTTTTCTTTTTTTTTATTATATTGCACACAATTATGAAAGCATCGCGCTGCAATTTTAGGGTTGTTATTCTTGCTTACAATAGGTATTTGTGCATATATATGCACAAATGGAACCTAGGCAAACAAACATTTTTAATAAACGTTTGGACGTCAGCGCGCAAATTGATTGCAAACGTTCGCAAACGTTTTTTGCGGTATTTTATTGCGGTCTGGACGGGCCTTAACAATCATGCATCAACCCTTTTTTCGTCTACCTACATTTAAAACAATTACGGTAAGCTGTTATACGTAAAATATTCATAAAAAATCTTACCGCGTTTTATTTTTAACGTAACAGGATCTGTAGATAATCGAAGGCATTTTAAAACTGAAAAAGCAAAACGTGTTAATAAAAAATTAATAAAGCTGCATATGTGAATAAAATATAGTCAAAGTAAATAAGTAATGATAATTATTTTTTTAATGTAGCGGTGATTTATTTTTATTTTGCAAAGGTATTTACAAGATGAAAATTATGTTTATTTAAAAATCATTAAATGGTGAAAGCCCACTATTTTTATTTTTAACTTGGTATCTTTTAAGTTTTCTCCTTTAAACACTGTCAGCACCTCCCTGTCTGGGTTTTTATTAGAATTATTTTTCCCAGTATTATTTTGTGTGCGTGAGTTTTTCTCCCTAAGTCCAATTAGAACTAATATTATTTTTAGTTTGCCCTCTTAACTTCGTTTAAAAAAAGCTTAAACCCGTGCTGGCTTCACCATTTGATGATTTTATATAAAATGATCATACGAGTACGAGTATACTAAAATATCTTAAAAAAGCTAAGAAAGCTATGGCCGTCCAAATGTGACCTAAAACTAAAAGTAGGTACTAGTTTTTATTTTATTTCTTTGCAACCGCTTGAGTTACCGGTGTGTGCTAAGACTCTAAGCACACAAACTGATTAATGAATGTTAATTTTTGAGTTAGCGCGTCAAATTTATTTAGGGCGTTCCAAAGGAGGGGTCTCTTTGTTTCTTTACCCCTAATTTTATAACTCGACATATTTTTAAACAATGATTTCAAAAATATTTTTATACAAACTTTTTTCTTAAAAAAATAATTGGGTTAATAGATGGGAGAAAAACGATTTATTTAAATCATTACACAAACTATTATTGACCTGTTTAAATTAAAACATCAAATTAGTCAATCAAGAACAAAAATTTTAATTTCAAAAGCATCAAGAATCCCATGGTTAACATTAAAATAATTGACATTGACGTTTTTGTCATTTATTAAAGTGATCACCTGCAAAGTACCTACTAGAAGGTCACCTTTGGACGGCCATAGCGTTCATGTAAGACATTTAAGCACCTTTATATAAACTTTTTTCATGTTTTTATATGTAGAATATCCTCTTAAAATATACAGAGTTTCCGGACATCCTGCATATTAATAAATTTAATATCCTCTTAAAATATACAGAGTTTCCGGACATCCTGCATATTAATAAATTTAATATGTACTTTATTAAATATACAGGGTGTCCCAGAAGTCGCGCACCACCTTGAAGGTGTATGATCTACAGACTCCCAACAAATTGTTTAAAAAAAAACTACCTTTCCTATTTAAAAAGATAAAGGGGATATTTTTTATAATGGCAATACGCTAAAGAAGTATCGGGTTTTTGCAACGCGCGCGCCATCTGGTGGACTTCGAATGCATTGCGTGAATTTAAGAATTGTCAACAATAAATTTAAAGCACCGATAATACATCTTTTTTAGAAGTCTTACTCAACAAATTTTGTTCAATTGCACAGCTAAATCGCGCCGTTATTTGTGTTTTACGTTGCAAGGAAAAAATTTAAAAACATTTTTAGTACTCGATTTCGATTGATAATTCCTTACTTATATCATTGATTAAGAAACTCAACGCTTAAATGCTTATATAGTTACGTTAGTGTGTGTATTTTATCAAAGGGATCATGGTGAATTATTGTGTTTTTAATTGTAAATTAAATTCAAGAACTAAATCGTTGCATTTTCATGTTTTGCCAAAGGATCCAATTCGGTAAGTACATTTGTTGGTGCAGAATAACTTAACTAATATAATTAAAGTTTGGACATTTTTAAGAAATTAGTAAAAAATATTTTTTGCACAAACATAACATTAAAATCATTTTTATATTTGAGACTCAAATATAAAAATGATTTTAATGTTATGTTTGTGCAAAAAATATTTTTTACTAATTTCTTTTGAGTTCTCTAAAAAACGCCGAAAACTGCATTTTAAACAACAAAATATACCTACGAATTTATTGCAACATAATATTATATATAATACATAATATAACGGTATTTTACCGTTGAGTGGAGAATTTAAAGAATTCTTTCTCAACACTTTTAATGATGCTAAATGCTGTTTAAATTTAGACGACTTATTTGTTTGACGATTTTTACTGAATTGAAATGTTTACACTTTCCACGTTAATCACTACTAAAATGTGTATTTATTGTATCAAATAGGTACAATTTATATATACAGAGTTTGTATGCAATTTATTTCTTCATTCAGATTAACACTGTTTATTCGAAAACCGGTAAAAACTCAATCCAGGATTTCCTCTCGAAATACACCCAACAACACAACAAATCGATCCACGGTTTTTATTCGATATTTTTTAACATTTTCCGGCTTTATTCTCAAAAACACTCGTTTGTAACCTAAGCGTTTGACAGCTGATTATAAAAAGTTCTACTTTTGTTACGATGATAACAGCCGAGTGGTGGCGCTACTAGCGATACTTCTTTAGCGTATATTGCGTACTAATAAAGTGGCAGTTTAATTATTAATCATCATGACAAGAAACAATATTAAATTGTCAAATTCGTTACCTTTACTTCACGTCAGACTTGACAGAAGAAAATACAGGGAGTCTTTGTCAGAAACTAATAAAACCTTAAGGTAGATAAAATCTATAAAGAAAAACTAAACAAATATTAACATTACATTGACCCACATGTGAGCACATAGGCTAAATAACATTTTTAGGCATTTTAAAATACAACATACATATCACAATACTTAGTGGGTACTACTTAAAGATAATAATATGGGGGGTATTATCTTTGGTACTACTCACTAAAGGAATGCATATCAATATTAAATATTGATATGACAATTTAATTTTAAATTTTAACTGTTAATCATTGTCTATGGGTTGATGTCAACAGATCAATTAAGAAATAAATTGTTGTGATAATGAATTGTTGTACATCATGTTGCCAAACGCATGCGTATCGTTAAGGTAAAAATCCTAAAAGAAATTTTTTTATAAGATGTAACATTAATTTCTAAAGAAACCATTATTTTAACATTCTGTACATTATCTAATTTCTCTATATAATAAGACTTGAAACAATATAATCAAGATAACCTTTTATTTTTAAGTTTAAGTTTTACGCTTTCATATCTTTTTAAATAATAAATTTTTTTAAAAATTTTCTAGGATTACTGTGTGTCTATATATTATGAGCGACTTCTGGAACACCATGTAGAAAATACGTAAAGGCATATCTCGTGTTAGCTAGAATATTAAGTAACAAAGGTTACTTTTGCTTAGCACAAAAACGAGATACGCCCGTATTTTTTATCTAAATAAGAAAATATGTACCTATTTCTAAATATTTTTTTTTAGAAAAACAGCCATTTTTTAGGTTTCAAAATTAGTTTTTACACGGAGAAAATAAAACGGTAACCATTGATGCGCAGAACACCAATCAAATTAATAAACAATGTCAGTGTCAGTGTATCATTTAAAATCATACAATTTTTAATAAAACCTCATGGGTTACTTTGACAAACCGTAATAGTTAGTTTTGTGACATCAATGAGTAGTGTTAGGAACTGTAGGAATCAATATTCTGCACATTAATTGAATCGGTTAAAAAGTCCAAAAATTAAATTTTGACAAGTCATTTTATAATTTATTTCATATTTCTAAATACATTTTTAATAATCATATTTTCTAAAATGATTTATATCTTCTCACAACAATGCATTTTGAACTTTAAAATTGATTTTAGAAAATAACTTGTCAAAGTTAAGTTTTTGGACTGTTTTTAATCTCAACGATTTAATTATTATAGCGCATCAATGGTTACTGTTTTTTTTCGTGTAAGTGTTTATTAGAGTGGGCCGATTTTACTATTTTTCAATTATCAAATTGTGCAATGGTGGAAAAGTTGTGCATTTATAAGGCCAGACATATATATATATATATATATATATATATATATATAAAATATATTTTAGGAGTTTTTTTTTTAATTTAATTTCTTAAACCGCCACAAGGCCTTGAAAGTTCTTAATGTAATTTAGTACCGTTTTAAATACGAAAAAAAAAATATCTGGGAGAAAATAGGATAAAAAAAATTTGAATGAAACTTATTTATGGAAAAAAAACGAAAACAAAAATGACTATATCATCAACACAAATTTAGTTCAATTTATAATACTGTGTTGAAACAAAAGAGGGCGTAATTTTGCGTGATTTCAATTGGGGCTGTGACAATATTATAATTTATATCAACAGTGAAGCCAACTATTAAGTGTCATACGTCAAACACGAAAATCTTAAAAAATATTTATTTTCCATTTTAAGCCGTCTTTTTAATAATTGCATGATTTAAAATGTACAGTTTGAAACTTTATGCAGTTCAAAACATAAAAAAACATCAAAGGAAAATAGTTTACTTTCCTGTAACACAACTTTTCCGCTTATGCAGAATTACTTTTAAATTTTAGAGGCGCGCCTCTAAAACGCATTGTGGCAGTTCAACACATAAAGATATCAAAAAAAATATTTTGCAAAAAATGTTTACTTTCCTATTTCACAACTTTTTCTTAAACACAGAATTTAAAATTTTTAAATTTTAGAAGTTCGGCCAACCCTAGTGTGTATATTTTAGGACGATTGGAAAAATTACTCAATCTAATTTTTTTTATAGACCAAAAATAACAATTCCATAAGTTTATGCTGCTTTTGATTTTACTTAAACAAATTAAACATTAAAAATTTTAAACAAAAAAGTAAATGAAAAACCTACACAGGGTGACCCGAAAAAGGTGTACAAACTAGAAATGAAACGGATATCCGCATAAGTCATGTTCGGCCGGATACCAAATATTAAAAAACTACGACAATTCCTAAAATCAACTGCTATACATTAATATTTCTATGGTAAAACACATTGACGATGTTCATAAGTTTTCACCTTGTTTGATAGATACCACAATAGCTTAAATGGACTATTATTATTTACCAATATAGATGATATACGGCTTCAAATATTGTCGGAAATTCGGAATCCTGCCAAACAACTTTTCGTTTCATCTCCAGTACTATTAGTTAAACTCTATACCACGTGATAGGGGATAAAAAGTATAAAAAAATTACAAAACATTTTCCTGACAAGTAGTTTTTGAATTAGGTAATTTTAAATTAAATTAAATTTTTATTATTTGAATGTTTTAAAAACATTTTTTATATAAAAAAAGAAAATAAAAAGTTAAAATGAGCTTTCAGAAATAAATTTATTAACCACGTGAACATCAGCTTTCTTATTTAAATTGTGTAGATAATATTTCAGCTCATCAGGTACACGTTGTCTAGTTTTTCTTTATAATTTAAAACGCGTATTAGCATTTTCGGGACACCCTGTATAATACTTATTGGTATAAAGAGTGCACCAGGGGTCCTTCTATGTATGGGTATCTTTTTTGTTTAAAAAGCTACAAGAGAAAAGTTAGAATGGCATTTAAAAATTGGAAAAAAATTAGCAGTTCTTAAATAATTTGAAAAAAACTCAAAACCTCTCAAAACCAAAAATTGTTATAACAATTTTTGGTTATGTATAACTTCGTTATTCCTCGAAATTAAAAAAAAAACATATAAACATCTAAATATCTACATTTTCATCCAATGTGTGATTTTTTCGCCTAAAGGCGAGTATACTCGATTTTGAGATACCTCCACCATCTTCTGTTTTTCTTATGGCCGCCATATTTAAATTTTACATGGTTAAAAAAACTCAAGGAATTCAACGGTGTATTAAACGACATAAGTTATTGCGGCCATTATAAAAACAAAAGATGGTGAGGTAACCCAAAACATACTAGCGAAGAACTTAGATGAAAATGTGGATTATTGTGTATGTTTACATGTAAAACTTACTTTGTTTCAAAATTCCCAGGAATAACGATGTTATAATGATTTTTGGATTTGAAAGATTTTTAGTTTTTATTTCAAATATTTTGAAAACCGCTGGCTTTTTTTCCAATTAGGAAATTTCATGTTGTAATTACGCAATTTTTTTGTTATTTAACCGACATTGTAGCTTTTCATATATAAAAAAGGATACTTGGTGCACGCTGTATACAGGGTGTCTTCGAATTCCATCCATAAGGGGTGATTTTACAGCGCAAAATATGAACAAATGTTCTGAAGAAGATAGGGTCAAAAAGGTTTCATAAGGAAGCTTTTGATGGCACTCAATATTTAAATTTTATTTTTTTTAACTCAGGTGTACTTAAACCTAATAATACATTTTGGCACACGCTACATTTAAAAAATGCAAGGTTTCTATTGTAGACCAAAAATTGACCCATCCGGGGACATCACCCCCTATTTTATTTTTTGAGTTACTTAAGTAATTGGATAATAGTTTTTATTTAATTTTTCACAAAAAGGTCATTTTGTTTAAAAAATAGCTTTAAATTTTTTTAATTCTGGGTTATAAAGTTGAGTTTCATCTGTTGCTCCCTTACAAAGCATTTTCTTAGGAACTTTTTTATATTTTGCAATGTAAAATCGTCCTAAAAATTTAGGATGGAATTCGGAGACACCCTGTAATTTTTGGCATTGAATGGTGTATGATAAAATGACCAATGATTAATTAAGCCGTTCCTGATAAATATTTTGAAGAATATTCTCGCCTCTATAAAACTTTTTATATTGCAAAGAACTGTGATTTAAACTTTAAATTTTTTAAATACTATTTATGCAAAGTAAATTAAGGTAATGAACAGAATTATAAATTAAATAACTTACCTTCTTTAGTGCTAAATCGGTTTACATTTGTTTCGTTTACTTTTAAAATTACATCTCCGACCTCGACCTGTAAAAAAGAAAAAATAATAATAAGTTGTCATATATCAAAATTACTAGTTTCTGTATATCGCGTTTTTATTAGACCATTTAAAAAAAATTATACTTATAATATAATAAACCTATTTTGTTTCTCGAGTTTGGAATAATCTATGGAAAATGACATTTCTGCAAAATTGTTATTTTCCATAAATTATTTCAAAATATCGTTTCTAAACTTGAGCAACAAAAGATATTATGGATATCTCAAAAAACAATTTTTAAGCACTTTTTAAATTTCATTTTAAAAAGAAATTAACAATTTTACTTATTTACTTTTTATGTGGTTTTTCGTTTTTAATATATAATTTAATTTATAATAAAGTAGTCATTTGATAATTTTAATTTGTATTTTAATACACCGTTTTATTTTGATTACATTGGCATCGCTGGATTTGCTGTCACGGCCTACTGTTATTTATTTATTAAATCTTTATAATCTGTGATAAAACTCTTCAAATGTAACACGATCCGAGAAAAGGCACTTAGTATCCAAAATCAAGTTTTGCACGAGAAGTGTTTAAAGTTCACGCAGCATAGACGTTTTTGTAGTAACGCTCGACTTTAAAAAATAATGTCAATTTTTTTGATAATCAAATTATACCTGGACCTTTCGAAAAAACCACTCTATAGAGTATACTTAAAATATTGATAATCTCGAAAATCAGTTTTTGGATCACGGATCGTGACACAAATGGAAAAACTACATTAGGTTTATATTTTACTGGTTAATTTGTTTATTCTTTCAAGGGGACGTCCATTAATTACGTGAGGCATTTTTCTGATAATTTGGACCCCCTCCCCCTTGGTGAGATGTGGTTGACCCCCCATCCCTCACGTGAGATATTAGCCATTAATCTTTCTTTGCGGACAACATGTAAAAAAATGATTATTTTTTTAAAACAAATTTGAATTATAATACATATTTTTTAAACTCAAAAGTTGACGTGAGATTTTTAATGACCCCCTCCCTTAAAAAGATATTTGGTGAGATTTTGTTAGACCCCTCCCCCATTTTTGTCTCACGTAAGTTCTTTTTAGGCAATATTGACTACAAGAAGTCATTGTAAGCTTGTTGCACCCGAGATATAACAGATTTAATCTTTTTCTTTACAGAAATAAAATGCTTACGTTTTGAAACTTTGTAGGAGTAAATAAAAAATAAAGGAAAACAAATCAATCGTAATTCGTGTTTTCTATAATTTTTTTATAATAATCAAAGTAAACCTACTTTGGTTTATAATATAAATAAATTCACTATTAACACTCTTTTGTATTTTTGATCTGTAAAGGTTTTGTTGCATTTGCGATAGCACTTTAAACCTCCCTCATTAAAAGAGAAAAGATTAAAATGTAGCCCTTTAAATTTTTATTTTATTTTATTAGTGTACTATAGGAAAGTTTAAATGTCTCTAAATGTTGGGTGCTAAATATAAAAACATGAATTTGATATTTCGTCTTAAGTTAAAAATTACATCAATAACATCTTTAGTCCATTTCGTGCTTCATGCAATCCACTTTACGATCCATATGTATATACATTAAGCTTGCCAACCTTAAACCTAACAATGTTACTGAAACGAGCATTTTAAATACTAAAATGTTATAATGTTATATTTTCGATTGGTGAACTTGTAATAAATAGGTATTTCTTTCTGCCATTATATTAAATTATATTTGGTAGATTATTAAGTTTAAAATGGCTAATATTTTTTGGTTGAGACATACTGAAACATTCGGTATAACAAATACCAAATATAATATGTAAAATTATCAAGATGAACATTTGTAGAAGTCGAATCATAGCAGTAAAATAAACTTAGTTAAAAAGTAATAAATAATTAGTGAAGCCAATCAAATTAGTTTTATTCAGGGTAAAATACCCTAATGTTTTACATTAGAAGTGGGATAGTGATTTCCATGTACAATAATTAGTTTAGTTAAGTTAAATAAAGTTAATTTATAATAAACAAAAGCAGACAAAAAATGAGTGCATCAAGATGGCAGATGAGTTATCTAGAGTTGAAAATGACGTTCAAAATCGAATGAAACAAACAATCTTTACGATTTAACGCTACTCGATGCTCTACAAAATTGTTTATCCCTGGTGACGTTGTAGCCATTGAAGATTCACAAATTGCTGGTGGAGGCAAATTAAAACCAAAATATAGAGGACCTTATACTGTTCGACATGTGAGACATGAGAGATATGTTCTGCACAAGAAGGGTCAGAGGACCACAGTTGCTGCCCTTGAACAGCTGAGGCCGTGGCCAAAGGAATAAAAAAATGGAAGTCCTGTATTTAATAATCATAATAAAAAGACAAGATAGTGGCAATCCTACTATGCTTGGGAGGTGACTAAACACCTCGGTGAAAGTGGCAATCCCACTGTTGAGGATGGCAAACCCATTCGCTAAAAAGACAAGATAGTAGCAGTCCTACTATGCTTGGGAGGTAACTAAACACCTCGGTGAAAGTGGCAATCCCACTGCTGAGGATGGCAATACCATCCGACTTTAAATTAGTTTTAATTTAATTTAATTCAACTTTCAAATCTGTTTCGGTTTTTTTGTAGAAAAACAAAAAAACAGCGAGAGGACGCTCCGAAAACCGGATGGCCGTGTTAGGGTAATCCCCTTTTTATCAAAGTAGGACAGCAGACCAATAAGCCTACTAAGCAAAAGAATCTTGGCACAGCTTAGAAATCGAATGGTAACGGAGAGTCCGTGCAGAACATTTGTAGAAGTCGAATCATAGCAGTAAAATAAACTTAGTTAAAAAGTAATAAATAATTAGTGAAGGCTTTAAATTAGTTTTATTCAGGGTAAAATACCCTGATGTTTTACATACATGATGTTTTATGATATAGTTAAATTAAAAAATCATTTACCATTAAAAAGCACAATATTGTTTAGATTTTTGTTGTATTTTACGGCCCGAAATAGTGACGAAACGGTTTAAATTTTAGGTTTCATTAGCTCAAACATTTATCACTTTGTAGGAACAAAAATATTTAATTAACGCTGTTTGTTTTATACATGTCAAACTAAAATCTTTTAATTTGATAAAACTGTTTTATGTGGAAATTAAAAGGAAAATAAATTATTAAATTATTGTGATTGCATTTTTATAAAAATGCATGTTACCTATTTAATAAATAATAATTTCCTGTTTCATCCCATCCCATTTTGATTTATTTCTATGTAAACGATATAAAAAACCAAGAAGCTTTATATTAAATACGTAATTAATGTATATTTAGGTATTATAATAATAAAAGCAATATTATTTTGTTGATAAGGACTATTTTATATTATATACATACCTACTGGTAACATAATATCCAAAATTTGTATTGTTATATATAACAATACAGATTTTGGATATTAGCAAAAAATAAATAAATAAGCGATATGATGAAAACAAAAACCAAAAATTCTCTGATTTTTGAATTAAATACCAGATACTAAAGTCAAGTCAAATCCAAGCCGAACTCGACATAAACACAATCATGCGTTGTCCATGCTCTATTCACGTGATCGACGAAAATTGTTGCACTGGGCCGTATTAAAATATATTGAATCAATATTATTGATCATTTAATATTTTAAATTTATTTTTTAAACTTTGATGGAAAGGTGTTAAAATATTTATAAAAGTTATATTTTTTAAATTACGAAATTAACAAAATTTTGGGAAATAATTTCATTATTATTTTAAATTTATTTTTTTAAACTTTAATGTAAAGTTTTTAAATTTTTATAAAAATGATATTTTTTAAATTAACTTCACGAAATTTTTGAAAATTATTTTAAATTAATTGTTTTAAACTTTAATAATTAAAGTTTAATGTAAAAGTTTTAAAACATTTAAAAAATATGTTTTTTTTAATTACAAAATTAACAAACATTTTTGAAAATGTTCAGCTTTGTCTGTGCTAGACATCGCACTTAATTGAATAATATCAATAAAAACCAAATAACCACAACAATGATAGCAATAACAACAACAATAACAACAAATAACGTTATATAACAAGTATTAATAATAAAACAATAACAAAAATAACCACAAAGATGAAAGCCGCGAAAACAAGGAAGTAATCAAACAATACGCTATTAATAACCGCAATGGACATAATGCGGCCCTGACAAGAATTTTCGGCACGCTTCACAACTCAGACTCGCCCAATAAGAACCGTTCTATCCACCTGCAAACGACTGATCACGCGTCTGGGGTTTTTTGTTTTAGTTTGTCTTGGATTTGACTTCACTTTAGTCTATGTTATGTACCTACTTTTTAATATTTTTACCGAAATAGAAATAGAAAATAAAATACCAATACCAATGTGTATGATAAGTTTTTGAGTACCTAATAAAGTTTTTAAAATAAAATTTTATTTCTGTTGTAACGCGGAAAAATTAATTGTAATTTAATTTAAAAATATTAAAAAGTAAACTAAAAGAAAAGAATGTTAAAAGTCAAATAACGATTTTAATTAATAACTGTTTTTATTAACCCATTTAATGTTTAATGTAATTACCAAATAAACTAACAAGTGTCAAGATGGTCTGATTGATGGTCGAGGTACTTTCCATTTAGTGCGCATAATCTGGTTTACCTATAATAAAGAAAACGTACATGAGTGTCTACTCTCATAACCCTGCTAAATACTAATCAATTTAATAACGATTCGTACAATCACCAAAATACAAAGGGATATAACACGCATTGTATTTTATTGCTATTTATATAGCTAGTATAGCTTGTTCATAATCAAGGCGTGGTAACTAGGAGATCGCAGTTAGGTCACGAGGGGATTAAACACGCGACGTGACCTCTACCTAGTTATCACCCTTAGACGTAAAGGGATTAAACACGCGGTACGTCTCATACTTCTCCTAGTACTGAGTTGTGCAATGAGCATGAAGGGCTAAACTCGCAACTTGCTCGCTCCAGCTACTAGAGCTTGA